CGCTCTTCGGGGTATTACTGAGGTTCCGGCAAGGCCCGTTTGCAGTGGCAGCCGACATAAAGGAAATGTTCCTGCAAGTTCGCATCCGGCCAGAAGATAGAAACAGCTTGAAGTTCCTGTGGCGAGGGGATCGTCGTGACGTAGCACCGAAGGAGTACAGAATGACATCAGTCATCTTCGGCGCGACATCATCTCCTAGCACAGCGATCTACGTGAAGAACCGGAACGCGGCGGACTACAAGAAGCAGTACCCAGAGGCAGCAAAGGCAATCGAGCTGAACCATTACATGGATGACTACCTGCACAGCTTCCATTCAGAAGAGAACTTCAAGAGAATTACAGCGCAGGTGGACTTCATTCACAAAAAGGCGGGCTTCGAACTCCGAGGATGGGCGTCAAACCACTCCGACCTGCTGCAAGACGTGAAGACTGAGTCAGTTGAGAAGACAGAGGTGGACCTTGGTGAGAAGGAAGAGAAGACACTGGGACTACGCTGGTTTACAGAAAGGGACTCCATAGGCTTTAGGGCGAACCTTCGGAACACGCCAGATGAAGTGGCACAAGGACTCAAGGTACCTACGAAGAGAGAAGTCACCAGCGCCGTGATGTCGACCTTCGATCCACTAGGGCTAGCATCACCAATTCTCATCCAAGGCAAAAGGCTGCTCCAGAACATATGGCGAAGTGGCGTCGGTTGGGATGAAGAGATAGAAGAAAAGGAGTACGAGTCATGGAAGACTTACCTGGAGAAGATGAAGCTGCTCCAAGACCTTCAGATCCCGAGATGTCTGGCACCACGTCGCACCGAGGGGGAGCTGCACACGTTCACGGATGCAAGCGAAATGGCGTATGCAGCTACGGTATATTGGAGAACTGAAAATCAAAATGGGACTTATGACGTCAGCTTAGTAGCAGCAAAAGTAAGAGTCGCTCCGTTGAAGCCGGTGTCAATCCCGAGACTCGAGCTGCAAGCGGCCCTCCTAGGAAGCAGATTGGCACACTCGGTCGAGGAAGAAATGGATCTGAAAATAGAAAAGAAGACGTTTTGGACAGACTCCAGTATCGTGCTATCATGGATCAAGACGGACCCGAGAACCTTCAAGACATTCGTGGCTCATCGCTTGGCGGAGATAGAAGATCTCACAAAACCACAGGACTGGAGATGGGTACCGACGGCGCAGAACCCTGCAGATGATGCAACACGTGACGTACCAGAACACTTCGACTGCCAACACCGATGGTACACCGGACCAGGGTTTCTAAGAAGAGATGAAGTTCACTGGCCTGCGGCAAGAACATTCAAGAAAGAAACCACTGGCGAAGAAAAGGCAGCGGACATCGTAGCGACTGCAGGCAGCTCCTATCCATCACCAGATCCCGAAAAGTTCTCGTCGTGGAAAAGACTTTGGCGAGCTACAGCAAGAGTACTGCAGTTCATACAACTCTGCAGAAGAAAGGAAAAGGTCCACGCCAGCAAAGAAGATCCTACCTGGAAAACTACAAAAAGGAATAAGAAAATTGTTGAGAAGCGACATCTGTCTTCAAAAACGTCAGAAAGGAAATACATACCATTGGAAACAAGTCTACTAGAGCAAGCTGAAACGCTGTTGTTAAGAAGAAGTCAAGAGAAATGCTTCAAAGAGGACATCAGGTGCCTACAGCAAGGAAAACAATTAGAGGGCAGCAGCAAGTTGAAAAGGCTCGACGTAGTGCTAGAAGAAGGTCTCCTGCGACTGAAAGGAAGAATCGACGCGATACGAGGGGTTACCAGAGACTACAAACGACCCATCGTACTCGACAGCAAGGACAAGACAACACTTCTCATCATAGAAGAATTTCACTGCCGCTTCAATCACGGGAATCACGCGACCGTAATGAACGAAGTAAGACAACGCTTCTGGGTGCTAGGACTGAGGTCAGCGATCAAGACCATTCAACATCAATGCCAGTGGTGCAAAACAAGAAAGGCAAGACCTCAAGAACTACCAGTGGGCAACTTACCTGCTGAGAGGCTGATGCACGGAAACCCTCCATTTACGTGCACGGGAATAGATTACTTCGGCCCTATGACGATCACCGTAGCAAGACGCCATGAGAAGAGATGGGGTGCTCTATTCACATGCTTAACAACACGAGCTGTACACATTGAGCTCACTCCTTCACTCTCCACTGACAGCATGATCATGGCACTACGACGATTCGCCGCGAGAAGGGGAATGCCAAAGATAATCTACACCGACAATGGCACTAACTTCGTTGGCGCCAACAAAGAACTCAAAGAAGCACTAGACACCATGAAGCAAGAAGACCTTATCTCGGAAGCGGAGAAGATCGGTGTGCAGTGGAAGTTCATACCTCCTGGTGCACCAAACATGGGAGGTGCATGGGAGCGTCTGGTGCGATCCATTAAAACCGCACTGGACGCCACGCTCAACGAAAGGCAACCACGAGAGGAGGTACTTCATACCCTCCTGTTAGAGGCCGAGCACATAGTCAACTCTCGGCCCCTCACCCACCTCTCCGAGAACCCTGAAGAAGAAGCACTTACACCGAACCACTTTCTCATCGGGCGATCATGTGGCGCAGCAAGAATCGGCAGCTTCGAGGACAACGAGCTTGTGGGCAGACACACCTGGAAGGCTACGCAGCGACTTGCCGATCACTTCTGGCAACGTTGGCTGAGAGAGTATTTGCCCACTCTACTACCAAGGAAGACCAAAGGAAGAGTCAGCGCCACAGATTTGCAAGTCGGAGACATCGTACTGATCGTCGATCACAGCCTACCAAGATGCATCTGGCCACGCGGAAGAATCCTGCATGTGTATCCTGGACCAGACGGGCGGACCAGAGTCGTCGACGTCGAGACCAGAGGAGGTGTTCTACGGAGGCCCAGTTCGAGAGTGGTGCTGTTGGTGCCGGGAGCGTCGCCGAGTCCAGGAGTTAGTGCAAAGCACGAGGGGGAGAATGTCGGCGACGGAAAACTTATCTTCGAGTAACGTGTGTATTAATATAGGGACAATGTCATTTTAGCGTATTATGAATAATTGTTGTAAATATGAAATCTCATTCTTATTAGATTTATTATGTTAAAATAAGTTCTAATTAGTGTAATAAGGTTAGTTTAGAGTATTTTTGCTTATTTGAATCATATAAGACTATTTAACATTAATTTGAAAGGAATAGGTACGTAAGTAAAATGTTAGCATATAATTACGTAACTTGAAAATGAGATTTTTTGTTTCTTGCAATAGCATAATAGTTTATGTTTTAAATAATAGATTTTATTATAAAACTTATAATAAAACAAGAATTAGGTCGATAGGACTATCCGTTCAAAAGTTATAAGGGAAAATGTATAGTAAAAATGTAGCAACCTAGAAATTTAGATATTTTTGTTTTAAGACTTTTTTAATTAATTATTATATATTGAATATTATGTTTTAATATTGTATAATAGTATGTAAGGCATGTAAATAAATAAATATGTGTAAGGTGTTTTACTGAAAACATAAAATAAAAGGACTCTCAAGGTTTCGGTTTAGGGAAATTTTATTCGAAAAACGAGCTCAAAGTACGCGGCTCTCTGTAAGGTATTAACGGGCCAAATAAAAGGCGAGCCATTTCTCGATTCGAGTCAGTCGCAAGACAGCCACCGAAGAGGCAACAACTAAAAGGAAAAGGAAGAACCGAAACCAAGAGAGAAAAAAGGAAAAATTGTGTTTTATTTCATCGCCTCTAAGTATAGTCTCCTGTCAACGAAGAAACCCTAGTGGATCGGGACCCAAGCTACGCATTCAGGGGTGCGTGGTGGCGTACATTACCAGCGAACGGACATACTGCCGTGTACGCCAAGAACGTCTGGGAGATTGTCCCAGGTCGACCTCCGGGTACTAGACATACCCTGGTTCTGGTCGTCCGAAACAATAATTGTGATTAAACTTATCCCTCCCGAAGGCCACATGAAAGCTCACGAACATTCTGCCAAAATCAAAACTAACCGAAACTTTTAGCTCCGAACTTGCAGAAAATTGTGTCGAACATTACATAATAAAACAAAAACCTGCTTTTACGAAACTTTTTTATCGATGAAAGTGATAGCTTACAATTTGTAGCTGAAATATTTTTATACTCAACAATGTTAATAATACTAAATTATCCCACAAAAATGCTTACAGAGTAATCTTAGTAAGCATTTTTCGTGGATTTTAAGGCCTTTGCCGACACTTGACAACAATTGGAATTCAAATAATCCAATTTTTTCCAACTGTCAAAAAGGTTGAAACTTCTGTAAAAAGGTTGATAATTATCAACCTTTTTAGTAAAAAATCTTTGTTGGTAAAACTAATTTTATTGGTTCTTCTGAGCTTAATTTACTGGACGAAATAATATTTAAATTAAAAAGAAAATTCACTTAACTTACTCATAATTGAGTTTAGAAATTAGCTTCAATACCTACTAAAAGCACCCTTTTTTTTTTTTTTTTTTTTTAACGTTGGGAAATGCATTTACGCACAACGTGTGGGACTCACCGGCGTAATACAGCCAGTACTACCCACTAAAACCCAACAAAACCTTCCCCCATCTTAATGGGGCGTCGCAGGATCGCTTACGCATTCAACTACGACGCCCCGACGCACAGTGGGACAGAACCGTGCGTACCGTCTCAAAAATCTGTAACTTTTTTGTTGATTGAAGTAAATCGCTGAAATTTGGTATGTAGTGTCTCCAGAGTATATACAATCCAATAATTAATGTATCATTGTCAAATGTTTAATAAATAATATAATATAAAATAAAACAAAATAAAAATGTATTATTTTAATATTAAACCATGGTTTGGTTAACTTATTGAATTATAATTTTAGTTTTATGATATTAATAAACCTATTTTATGTTATTTTATATTACATATGAATCTTACATTTAAATAAATGACAAATATATAATAACCCACTCCAAAAATATGTTTTACAAATAATGTACGAGATTATTTCGATTTAAATAGCTAAGAGGTTCTTAGCTTCCTCTAACAATTTCTTGGATATAGTGACTGATGGTTTTCTGATACTTGATATATAAGGATCTGACGTAAATAGAACACCATGAAATACATCTTCGTTTGTTGCGGACCTAGAGCATTTTCTAGCATGATGCATTCTCAATTTTTTATAATCTTTATTACGCGATTCTTGGGCATCCTCAGATAAATGACCAATGGGCAGAACTGCAAAATGTCTTATTATACTTTTCCCAAGTATTAAGATTTTATGTACTGAAGAAGGCATATTATACCACATATATTTTGTTACGTACAGTTGTGCCGTTGCACGAGTATATTCACCAAATTTTTCTGGATTTACAGCAATACCGGATGCCATGGTTTGCAGAATAACATAGAACCTTTTAATAAGTTCCTCGTCAACCCCTGTAATTTCTGAAGCGCAGTAGTAGTTCTCAATAAAACGCCGAGCTGTATTGCCGTCATTACTGTTTCCACTTCCTTGTCGGGGCTTATCAACGTGCAATCCCATCGGGCTTCAAAACAAACTTTGTACAAGCTTTTTCTTGTCTTCTTTACTTTTTTTATCTTCCGAAGTTCTCGCAGCCCATTTTTGAAATGAAAGGTTATATGAAATATGTAAAATTAGCTCCATGCACCTGATCCACGCGTGTAACGTAGACAAACCGTATTCGTAAGCATTTATATTATCTGGCTTTGATGCAATCTTCTCCAAATTATTCATTTCACTTGGCTTAGCCCCACACACTGTACATACAGTTCCAGAACTTGTGTCAGTAAGAACTTGTGTAACTTTTCCATGCACCATAGTTAGAAATAGATCGTGACTTATTTCAATTACCTGCGTCTCCTTGTGTATCTTTGATGTTTGCAAATTATTAATTTGATCCCGAATATCACCAACCACTGATCGGGTTTTCTCGGGCGTTTCTTTTGCAAGTTCCATCAGGATTGGTCGGCAATAACAAATAGAAGAACAAGCCGGATTTTGCCAAATTATTTCATGTGTTTCTGTGTCATTCAGCTTTATTGGTACCAAAGACGCTATAAATAAGTTTGTATCTGAGAGTAAGTCACTCTAATCTGTTAAAACTTGTTTATATTCGCTTTGCCCGGATGAACCATCACATCCCCACTTGGTAAACAATTTAAGAGATTTTCTTCTTGGGTTGTAAACATTTTCAATCTTTAGGATGCGAGCATAAGTGTGATCCAGCAAATATTGTAGATTTACTTTAGCACTTATATCGGTTATTTGAATGCTGGATAGTGGAGGATAACACAGTTTTTTGGCGTTCGTCAGTATATTATATGATGGCAATATGTCGAAGTTTTTGTTAATCAAACTTGCTCGAAGAAATCCGTATTGTGATTTCGAAAGATCTAAATCTGCAAACATACTTAAAGCTTCATCCACCCTAAAATTTGTTCCATTGCGACTTTCATGCAATAATTTTTCCTTCATGATCCTTTTTTCATTTCTTTCACAATTGCGTATCATTGAAACAACAGTAGCTTCTTCGATTTCTCCTGCAGCCCGCAATCCTTGAACGTATGCATTATGTATATACTCGAGTCCATATTCTTGTACCAATTCCATATTCTTTCTTTTTTTCGATTTCTCTGATAGATCTTCATAAGACTTTGGTGGACGTCCACGTACTTCAGATGTTGTAGGTGTAATATCCATCGGTGCTTCTTCAAATTGTACTTTAAATTCACCGTCTAACCACGATATATTATTACTAAAGAAACGTTCTTTAGTTCGGTTACATTTGGTCCACCGATCGTTAAACGCTGTTATAAGCGTTTTTTGAATACGTTTCACAATTAATTCACTTTTTTCAGACGATAAATGGTGGTGTTGTTCTAAGTATTTTTGAATATCTTCTGATTTTGTTCCATGGCCAATAAAAAATTCGCATAATACTCGTCGAGGCACAACAAATTCAGTCATTTTGTTTTTATTTTTAACTACTTTTTTTTACCGAGGTTGGTGAAGACTATATTATGTTAAAGCACACTAAAGTACTGGTAAACGACAACGTAAATCAATAACTTTTATACTGAAATTTCGTGCGAAAATATATTACTGTCTAGTGTCATTATCAAGTTCCTAACCACTATCTATGAAGGTGGTTAGTAGTAGGTAGGTACTGATAATGTACACTAACAACTATAACTAGATACCACTTGCTCCCTTTTCCTTCACCGCGATAGAGAAATACATAAACTATATGAGAAACATGTAATTCACACAGTGATAACAAAACATTAACCACATCTGACCGCACCATAAAAAAAATATACTACATACTAATACATTACCCAAAACTCCCACTTTACCTAAAGATTGAGTAAATAGATAATATTGTTTAAGAAAAAAAGGTCAAAAGTGATCTAAATATCCAAAAATCTCATTAATCAGAACTAAAATAATTTTTGGAATATTTTGTATTTTCTCCCCATTAGCCATTTTTCGTTTTATTTCAAGGGGGGCAGATTCGGGCACTCTATTTTTTTTGCCCTGACTTTTACATTAGTCTGTTACTGCTCTATACGATGCTATCAAAATTACGACATGGGCAGACACCGCTAACTGTCAAAAGTCTATGCAAAGTTTCTAATAAGGATAGAATATTAGGTCCTGAAATAAAAATTCTTTACCTCCCCAGGTTTCACATAATGGTTCACTTAAAGTATTTTTAAATAGAGTACTTCATCACCTTTCTAACCATATATCACACTTACAAATTTGCTGGTAAAGTAATGCAAATATGACCATGTAAACTGGTGGAATTGTGTTCTATATAATTGACATAATTTTGAGCGTCAACTTGCAAGCCTTATTCTAATACAAAAAATGAGAAATAGTGTATTTCAACTGGTATATAATATGCATTGAACATTCAGTTAGACATATGCATTAACAAAATATTCAATATAGAACATTACGAAAAGCTATTTTTGAGACGGTACGCACGGTTCTGTCCCACTGTGCGACGGCAGGTCTGCCAAAGCAGACCACCACAACCATGGGGTTGCTCCACAGTCCACTCTGCTATCAGAGAAGTACCAGGAGCAACGCGCATGGTACACCGCCCCCCGAAGAGGGCCACCTCCCACCGCCCACCGAAGTGGGCAACCTCCCTGTGCGTTTCTTAGCTTCGCTACTACTACTGAGCCCCCCCACCACGACAAGGTGAACGCACGTTGGGGGGGACTAAAAGCACCCTAAGATTAGGGACATACAATTAAATATATATATTTTTTAATTATATTTAAGAGTGTTGTAATAAAATTAATTTAAAAAGAAAAAAAAACACCGCAAAAGTAAGTAGACATGAAAATAAATATTTATTTTTCTTACAATAAATTTTACATTTAAATTTTAATAGAATTGGTTACTCTAAGCTTCAAAAGTTTAAGCTTTTTCTTCCTTTTACTTTTATTAAATACTATTATATCAATTATGCTCGTAATATAAATTTTTATAATCCTAGATTATTCATGACGTGTTTATTAACACTGATACTAGGTAATGTCACAGATTCAATAAGAAGATAAATAGTACCGTAACTCGTGGTAGCGTAACTCGAAACTTATTGCTCAGAGATTAAAAAATCTATATAAATAAAAATTAATGTTCATGTGTTTGTTCTCTACGCGTTCCTATGCCGTTGACACGATTGTGATGAAACTCTGGTGGGTTATTCTGTATACACCTGCAAAAGTTCTTGGTCCAAAAAAAATCTTTTGACGTTTGTCTTTTATACGTTTTAAGCTTAAAATAAAACCTTAAAGTCTATAATAGAATTTAGTTTATTATTATTAGAATTTAGTCCCCATCATCATCATTATTATTTCAGCTGAAGGATGTCCACTGCTGGACCTAAGCCTCTTTCAAAGATTTCTACAATTACCAGTATTGTTCCATCCGCATCTCAGTACTACTGAGAAGATCTTAAGCCCAGAGTTGAAATAGAAAAACTCAGTAATTAAACTTGGTCTGGGACTCAAACCTAGGACCTTCGGATCTGTAGCCGTATATGCTAGCAGCTAGACCACCGAGACAGGTTTCCTATTACTTAATACATACATATATAGCTAAGATTAGTTATTAAACTCAAACTAAGTAAGTTTGAGTTTATTAACTATTGTTAAGTGTTTGAAGGAAGCATGGCTGTTGATTGTTCAACTATTTTGCTTAGAGGGTTGCATGATGTAAATACTTGAAATATATCTATCGTCTTATTTATAGCTATCATGATACAAGTTGCAGTGTGGTTTTATGGTATTTCATTTTCTGGAAAGAAAAAGAAAGCAACAATTGTCTATGCTGTTCTTTTGCTTTCTCAACCGACTTCAAAAAGGAGGAGGTTCTCAATTCGATGTTTGTTACCTCAGAACTCCGTCATTTATTAACCGATTTGGACAATTTTTGTTTTGTTTGAAAGGGTATACTTCCATATTGGTCCCATTTAAATGTATGTGCTTTGGCTAAGTAATTAAAGTCTACCTATTAAATACATACCTAATCAAATATTTTCGAAATCGGTGCCAGCCCATATAAAGCAAAGCACACTGACTTCGAAAATATTTGATTAGGTATGTATAGTAAATGAAAACTACCAATCAGTTATTTTTTACTTTTTAGTGCTTTTGTTTGAAGTCGGTTTTTATTTTTTTGTTAAAAAGTTTTTTGCAACACCACATTTTGTATATATGTATTAAAAAGGGACTAAAAATATTTGCAGGTACTTGTATGTTGCGGTCCCATCACGTATTAGTGTGTTAGGGTTCCGTAACTCACTTTAGGTGATTTTAAGCCGTCTTGTAAGTTGTATGGCTAGCAGCATTATACATTTTGAGAAAAAGAACCTGCAAATGGTTATTATAAAATATAACCTAGGAAATGTGTTACTGGTTCGTCTAAAAATCAAATGTATAGTATTAACACTTATTATAATTTAATATATAACTGATTATTAGATTGGATATTATTAATATTTATAAATATTTTCATTATTGTACTCTGATTGTTATTATTATTATTATTAGTTTTAACTTGAATATTTATCAATAGCTTCATTTTATTTTCCACTATTGTTAACTGTTTTGTTTTCTCATTGTCACTGCTCTAATTTATGTAATATTTCCAAGTGGAAACTTTACTGGTTTGTGTTTTATGTATGATTGTTTATTTCTAAGTAATACTGAAATGTATGTTTCACTAATAAATTAAAAATAAAATAAAATATTTGTGTACTTTTTTTTTAATATACATTATTTATCTGAACATTGACGAACGTATAGTGAAAATTTTTCCTAATAACTACGATTGCACAAAAATGGTAAACTAACGTCAAAACTACTTGAAAAGCATTTATTCCACCAATAAGGGCTTACTTAAAAGATACAGGGGAATTGAGTACCATTCCTTTTCGAAGTAGGTCAATAAAACTCAATAACAGGTGTTATTTGAATGCTCAATCACGAAAGGTGATATTTAGACATCAACGGAATTGCTTGGAGCACACGCAAAGCATGGATTCATTGCAGTTTTGTTATCAGCTATTAGTTTTTTAACGAAATAAGCTGTCTTTCAAGTCAATTAAAGTATGTGTTTTTATGATTCTAATAAATTGTATGCTATTTTCTGTTCTAAGTTCTGTGCTAAGTTCTTTCTTCATTTAGTTTCTATCTACCTTTTTCGCGAATCTTTCAGATTTTAGCACTATACGAGTAGTCAAAGTTTACTGCAAATATAAGACGCACTGGTATACAAATAGTCTGCATTACATTCCGACTCACCCTATTAAAATTCCTATTAGGGATATGGTAAGATGACTAGAGTAGAGAATCGTCAGTTACCAGAAAAACAGCGAGGCTGATTGGTAGAAAACTCTAGTCATGTAGAAAATGTTAAAAGAATTATAAAACTTTTAAAAAATAAATAAAAACTTACTTCCGGTTGACGGTACTTACATCTCCGTGCGTGAGAACTCTCACTAGTCGTGTCGAGTTGTCCTATCATCGGAAAGGGAGAGTTAAAGGAGTAAATAGGTTTAGACTCAGCACACGCTTTTACAATATAATGATGATGATGTTCTCCTGACTGATTCAGGCCACGCATACTATTACGCATTCAACTACGACGCCCCGACGGCAGGTCTGCCGAAGCAGATCACAACAACCATGGGATTGCTCCAAAGTCCACTCTGCTATCAGAGAAGTACCAGGAGCAACCCGCATGGTACACCACCCACCGAAGAGGGCCACCTTCCACCGCCCACCAAAGTTGGCCACCTCCCTGTGCGTTTCTTGGCTTCGCGCCCGGTGGATTGCCGGGCACTACTGAGCCCCCCCACCACGACAAGGTGAACGCACGTTGGAGGGGGGGGGACATTGAGCCTAGCCTACTGCGCAGGAGATATTATAGTGCACAAGTGTACGCGCAGACACAAGTGCACTCTCTATTCCTGTCACTCTCATACTCCGGTGGGACGACCACTCGACGCGACCAGTGAGAGTTAAGGCGCAGGACTGACGGCTTTACGTGCTCTCCGAGGCATGGGGGTGAAACACCGCCAACTTCCCAACTCCGGGCTGTTACTGAGGCTTAGTATACAGAAAGACACAATAACTAAACTTGGCCTGACCCGGGACTCCAATTCAGGACCTCCGGGTCTACTACTACTACTAGTAACTCCCTGGGTGGTGTAGTGGCTAGCATGTACGGCTGCATATTATAATATATCCCATTCAGTTGATTAATCTGAGTAAGATTAGCCACCGTAAGCAAATGTCTTAAAAATACATTAGAACTACTATAAATAAATGCGACAGGAGTATCATTTATTATGACACCTGCAGGACAATTTGTTTTTCACTGATAATAGAATGTAAGAAGTTGGGTAAGAAAATTAGAAAAATAAAAGATACTACGTTGGTATT